ATGTCAGCAGACAGCAAGAAGCCTCCCAGATCTCCAGATGCATTTGAGACATCAAAAAAGTACTCCAGGGTGTTGTTCAGCATGGGGGTGAGTAGAAAATGAAGGCTAATCATGTTTTGGGTGTACTATTCCTTTAATGTACGATTTATTCTAAGTTTTTTAAGTTTATGTGGTAAAGTTGGGAAATTTTGTGAAAATTGGTTCTAGTTGGTGACAACTTCATTACTGGACTTGATGTACAGACTATCCCTCTAATCTTTTGTGATCTTTCTTCATCCTATGTTGATGTAAGATGAAGCAAGAAACTAATTAGGAAGAGCGAGATACCATTTTAGTTTTAACTGTAGATTATTGTGGGCTGGAGCAATATCTATGAATGTTTGTGTTTTCTCATATTTTCTCTATTCTATTACAGCATCTGGTTTCAGGATCGTGCTGTTGGGAAAAAGTGAGCAGAAAAAAATAAACATTTGTAACTTGATCACTGGAGAGCAGGAACTTCATCAGCAAAAGCACAGAGTGGCCTACCGTGGAAATTGGAGCGGAAAACCAGTGACTGTAGTAAAAACTCCAGACATGTTCAGTCTGTCAAAGGAGAAAATCCAAGAAGAAGTAAAGAACTGTGTGAGACTCTGTTCTCCTGGACCAAATGTTCTGCTGCTGTTGGTGAAACCTTCAGAATTTAAAGAAAAAGACAGAGAAAAACTGATGTTCATCCTGAGTTTGTTTGGTCAAGATGCCTTCAAATATTCAATAGTCATTTTAACAAATGACAGTAAAAACAGTCAATCTACCAATATTCTCATCAAGATGGTTCAAGGAAGATTCCAAAACATGAGAAATATTGACCAGAGTCAGTTGATGAAGCAGGTTGAGACAGTTGTCACTGAGAACAAAGGGGCATATCTGACCTTTAGGGAAGAGACCAGCAGGCCACAAGATGAACAGATGCAATCTTTAATAAACCTGGTTTTGTGTGGGAGGAGAGGATCAGGAAAAACCTCAGCAGCCAAGGCCATTCTAGGTCAGACAGATCTTCTTTCACCCTCCAACTCAGAATGTGTTAGACACCAGGGAGAGGTTTGTGGACGTTGGGTTTCTGTGGTGGAGCTGCCTGCATTGTGTGGAAAACCTCAGCAGGAAGTGATGGAGGAATCATTCAGGTGTATCTCCCTCTGTGATCCTGAGGGTGTCCACACCTTCATCCTGGTCCTACCTGCGGGTCCCCTCACTGATGAAGACAAGGGAGAGTTACAGACCATCCAGGACACATTCAGCTCTAGAGTCAATGACTTCACCATCATCCTGTTCACCAAAAAGTCAGATCCTACAGCTGGAGATGTCAACTTCATAGAGACTGATAGAAACATCCAGGAGCTTCTTCAGAGCTGTGGAGGAAGATATGTTGTTCTCAACATCAATGACGAGCAGTGGATCCACCAACTGTTGGATAGAGTGGAAAATATCAAAGCAGCTGAAGACAAACCAAAAGGCTACAATTTTAAGACATTTGCACATGCCCAAATTAGTAGACTCATACAAAAAGAAGCACATAACAGTAAGCAACAGGAACAGCAGAAGAATAAAAATATCTGTAAGTATTTCAAGTATTAATGTCAGTAGTTTTTAAAATGTATTTATGATTTTAAATCCCAGGTATTGGTGCTCAGTGGCGCATTGGTATTTGCTAGGTTTATAATTTCGAAAATAATACTAAATGATTTATTCTAATTTTGCATTGTAAGTAAGTATTAAATTTATTATCATTCCCTACATGAACCACCAGGTGTCGGCAGAGAGCAGATGCCTAGGGTAGAGCAGGGGTCTGTTTCACAAAGCAGGTTTAA